AATTAGTTGGATCCAGACTCCCGAGCGGGCAGTTTTTGGCTCCCCTCCCCAACTTAAGCGCGGGGCCCCTGGGCATGGCTCACATCAGTGGAAAGGCCCAGATCTCAGCTACAATCTAAAAGTTAAATGAAGTCTCTATGAAATTGCCCCGCAGAGATAAGAGCAAAAAAAACAAGCAAAAACCTTTGATCCAGACCCGAGACCAGGTCTCCCTCGTGGAGATATAAGCAGTCAAATGTCGGCGAGCGAGCTCCGGCGGGTGAAACGGCTGAATTTCTGCACAGGGCTGCTGGTGCTGATGCAGGGGAATAAGAGATCCAGGTCAGGTGGAACCGGTCCCAGGCGCTCAGAAGCGGAGGTTTTCAGCCCCTGCCTGCCTGCGCCTTTGGGGTGCAATAATTCTGAAAAAATGCAAAAAATTCAGAAACCCACCTGATGGATCTCTGCCAGGCATTAAAAGGAACAGATTTGGTCAGGTGAAACCCGTCCCAGACGCTCAGAAGCGGGTTTTTTAGGCCCCTGCCTGCCTGCGCCTTTGGGGCGTAATAATTCTGCAATAATGCAAAAAATGGGGAAACCCACCTGATGGATATCTTCCAGGCATTAAAAGGAACAGATCCAGTCAGGTGGAACCGGTCCCAGACGCTCAGCACCGGGTTTTATTGACCGCTGCTGCTGAAAAACCCCACCTTTAATATTTCTGCAATAATGCAAAAAATTGAGAAACCCACCTGATGGATCTGTTCCAGGTCACCTAAGGAACAGATCTGGTCAGGTGGAACCGGTCCCAGACACTCAGCACTGGGTTTTATGGACCGCTGCTGCCAAAAACCCCTCCTCTGATATTTTTGCAAAAACACCTAAAAATGGATAAAAATCACCCCAGGTCTGGTTCCCCTTTTCTGGGGGAATAAAATGAAGAGATCCAGGCAGGTGGAACCGGGTTCTGAAGGCCAGCAGCTGCGGTGTAGTGAAATGACCAAAAACAGCTAAAAACGCTTAAAAATCCCCTCCAGCAGCTGGCTGACCATCCAGGGGGGTGTGGGGGGCAGCCAGCGGGCCTCCTGGAGCACCAAAGCCGAAAAAGCGCTCATAAAGCCGGCCTGGGGGCTTCAGAAAGCCCCCTGAAACTCACCTGGATGCTGCAGTAAACGTTGAATACGAGCTCGGCTAGATACCTCACCAGTATGACCATACCAGGCCGCACCTGGGCATTGTAGTTAAAGAGAAGTTACTTAAAAATATGGTCTATAAATAATTTGGAACATTTCATCATCACTCCACTGTATATTAATTATTGTGCTGCTGACCAGAGGCAAGACAGCTTTATATAAAACATTTCAGCAACAAGACAAATCAATGCTTTACACAAACAAAACATTTTGGCAAAGTGTAAAAGAAAAACAAGAATATAGAAAAATAAAATAAATGTTCAAAAAAGACTCGTAAAAGCAGGATTCTGTTTAAGAAATTGAATAAAATATTTTAAAAATGAAATCAGACAGTGTTAAAGTAAAAATTAAATATAATTGCATTTCATCATAAATCCACTGTACACTTTATTGTTGTACTACATGACATGAATGACAAACTGAATAACCTCCAAATGCTTTTCCCTTCAGCAAATTGTGTTTATAAAGAGTTCATCTGGTCCCAAACAAGGCAGTGGTCATGTCCCCCTAGTGGTCTGGCTTAGTTACTGTTTGCAATCGATCTTTTCAGTGTTCCATGCATAATGTCTGTTATTTTGAAAGGTAAAAGAATTGTACTTGTAAATTCGAATTGTAATTGTAAATTTGGTTCATACTTGTAATGTGGCACAGTTGTAACAAATTTATGTACGTTTATAGACTTACATGTACAAATTTAGACTCTTACACATACAATGATTCTGACAGTTCTCTTATCCGATACAATTTGTTCATGTGCCACAAGCACAAATGTTTACATGTGGAAACATGTTTAGTGTGCTTTTGTGAATCGAAGGTTGAAAGTCTGAGACTTTTACATGAAACATATTTTCATTATAATGTAAAAAAAAAGAACATTTTAGAACTCTTAGAGACAGAACACAAAGACACACAGATGCTTTTTAAGAAAACAATAGCAGAGTCAAAAATTGGTTGTTTAAGAGGTTAAAATGCGCAAGAAATTCTACAGTTTTGTTAAAATATTTTTAGAAAAACTAAAATTGAATGTAAAAGTTGACATGAATTAACAGTTGTAACTGTACAAAAAATGTTCATCCTTCATGGTCTAATTTTTTAACATGGAATCTCCAGGAATGTTACTGTATAAACGTGCRCTGATTGCTCCCAAATATACAGTATATTTGGATCCACTATATTAAATCACAATATCTAATAAGATCTGTTGCACTGCATCAATATATACGATTTTAGACTAACCAACAAATAAGGCCTACATTTTAGACAAAGGTCTTGTTCAGTATGTATCACTTAACATTGTAAATTACTTTTGGGACATCAAATTATAGCCCAAAATCTGTAAAGTTAGATAAGCTATAGTCATTTTAGGCAAAATCCACTTTTTTGAGATTTATATCTTGTTATACTGTCATTCCCTCATCAAAAACATAACCAGTGTTTCTTTGACTCATTCATGCATGTTAGAGAAATCCTTGAACCTCCTGTGGCCATGTGGAGCTGCCTAAACAATTGCTGGTACAAAGCACCTCCTATTTGTGCAAAGCTCCTCCCTGTAGCTAAGTCTGCAGCTGGAATCCCACCCTGCAGGGCATCCCCTCCCTAGAAGCATTTTAAAAAAAGCTTTCTGAAGTGGGAATGTGTGAAATGGTATGAGGTTCTTAAAGAGACAGAGGCCAATTTCAAGGTCTTTAAATAGACTATAATGCAAAGTCTTATTTACTTATAAATATATATCATTTTCACTACAACTAAAGGTAATATTGTTATTTAATTGTGKGTATAGAATTGAACTATGTGCCTGGAAAATACATAATACTTGCCTTTAAGGTAATTAGTTGTAAATAAATATCCAGTGSATTTCTTCTGAGAGGATTATTGAAGTCCATTTAGTGTTTCATTGGATATTTTACTAACAGACTGACAAACTAAAAACATACATGGACTCAAACAAGGTTTTATATTAAAAAGTTTAAAAATATACTTGAAGCTCACAACAGACATAAAGGAGCATTGTGTGGACTGCAGTGCCATCTAGTGGTGAAGCTCATCAGTGAATATGCTCATGATATTCAAGCAAAAGATTTTGATTTTAGTGCAGTTTTTTTTGCTTTTTGGTGAACATATTTAGCTGTATTATCTTTAAACATATTGTGCTCTGTTTTTCTGTTTTTTTCCCTTATGATTCATCTCATAAATTTTGTTATCTGATGCTTTCATTCTTGCTTACGCAGTTCTAAATCCACACAGAAGTAGATAATAATAATAATTTCATGCTTATGCTACACAGAACAGTGTAAACTTAGCAGAAGTGTATTCAGGTTGGATTTCTTTCTGTTTTCTGTTTGCAGCAACAATGTCTGCAGTCAAACTTYTCAGTGGAAGTTTCCACCCTACAGGTGCATCTGACTTTTTCAGAAATGGCCTCGAACGTTGTGAAGGGCATGTCTCAACTCCTGAATTTCTTTTTTTTTTTTTTTCAGTCATGCTGCTCTATTTTTAGTTGCTTCACATGAGAATGTGTTGCCAGAAGGCAGACACAGGAGGTAGCTTTTCAAAGATCAGCACAAGAAGATTTATGTAGCAACAAGTAGTGCTTTGCACTCACTTTCTAGTTGTTGAGCAGGAATCACTGGCTTTTTGTTGTGCGAGCTCAAATTATTACCTGATCCTAAAAGCTGAATATGTACAATAATTTTTTGTGTT